AAGGAGAGAGAAAAAGAGAAAAGAAATAAAATAAAAAGAGACCCAACTAAGAGCAAGCAATACAAATAATGAAGTGACAATAAAAGCCAAAAGGACCATGCTAACTATTAGCAAAACGATCCATTAAGATGCAAAGACACAATAAGAGAACTTTAAGAATCTTTAACTTCGGGATCGCTAGCAACTTCATCAACGTCTTTGACTATTGGAAAAAGGACATTGAGATTTTGAGAAAATTTGGCTTGAATTTCAGCTATTTCTCTTTACCGATCAGCTTGAATCGCCAACACTTTTCTATAGTGCTCTTCTAGCATTGCCTCCTGTTCTTTGCGAAGCTTGACAAGCTCAGAATCAAGAAAAACCTAAGTATGCTTCCAATTCTGAAGGTGAAAGACTAGAGATGTATATGAGGGTATCAACAATGAATTCTTTGGAAACATTTAGGGGAGTATCTTTATCCATGCTGCCGAGGGAAGCTGCTAATTATATCTATTTAGTACTTGCACTTTAAAAAGTTCCTATAAGTCTTTTAAACTTTCGAGGTCATATCTATTTGGTCTCTATACCCTAAAAAGTTTCCGATAAGCCTTTGGACTTTCAATTTTGTGTCTAGTTGATCCATGAGGAACTAATAATGATTTTGTTACACACTAACTATATCATTCAAACTATTCCTTTCTCTCCATGTATTCCATAGAAATGCTCTGATAAAGAGGGACCACATAATCTTCTTGTTCTTTTTGAGAGGATGTCCCCCAAGGTTGCTTGCAACAGGGTGTTTATATTCGCATGTTGAGGGATTTTCCAATCACAAGCTTCAATGATGGAGCTCCAAAAGCTGTGAGCAAATTCACAAGTGACAAAGATATGGTTTTGGGTTTCTGCTTCCTTGAGACATATTATACACCCATTTGGAGATAAAGCCATCATTGGAAGACGCCTCTGTAATCTACCTTGGGTGTTGATAGCTTTGTGACTAAGCTCCCAACAAAAGAAGTTTACTTGGGGTACCTTTCTGCCCAAATAATCTCAAAAGACAAGGGGGAAGGAGTGTGATACGCTGTGAGGTGCTTTAGGAGGGATTTAACCATATAGGTTTGAGTGGGATCCATAGGCCAAATCCATTGGTCTTCCCTATGAGAGAGATGAATAGCCGAGATTCTGTGCTCAAGGTCAAACCATTCTGCCAGTTCCTCATCTTTGAGCGGTCTACGGAAATGGTGATTCCATGAAGCTGTGGATTGTTCCCACGTCTCACTAACCTTAGCATCTTTCTTTGTAGAGAGTGGGCGGAGAATTATTGTAACTTAAACTAGAAAGTGGAGAAAGTTAAACTAAGAAATAATACAAGGCAAGATTCAATGTCTCTCAATCTGCTGTCAACAAGAAGAATTATCGTAACTTACTTGTATTTTCTTTGGGTTAGCTAGGAGAGTTTTTGCAAATCCTCAGTATTTCAATACTATGAAGAAACATCATAAATTCTAATACGATAAGGCATAGGGTCATAGTGAGCAAATATGATCATCTACTTGATGGGTCCCAATCTGGGGCTAAAGAAACTCTAAAGAACTCTTGAAATTTACCATTGGAGATGACTTGGTTGCTCACTTTAAAGAGGATTGTTAGGCAGAGGATACTCCTCTGTCTTCTCTATCTCCATGCACGGATGACTTTTGTCCTCCCCTGCCTAAAGAATCCACCTCATAGACTTTTGGTTTTAGGTGCTTGTTGCCTAATAAAGAAATTTGCTCATGAGATTTGCTCATGAGGAAAAAGGTTTGGGGAGACGGGTCATTGGAGCGATCTACGGGGTTGAGACCTACGGTTGAATTTCTCGATGGGCCAGTTTCTTAGAAAAGATTGATTTTTTGCAGCCAGACAACGAGAAAGACAAACTTTGGTGGAAAGGGGACAGCAGTGGGTTTTTCTCGGCAAAATCAGTCTTTTCTCTTCTATCTAAGCCTTCTCCAAAACTGAAAGCACCTGTTGCCTCCTACATATGGAATTTTAAGGTTTAGAAGAAAGTGAAATTTTTCCTATGGACAGTGTTCTACATAAGTCTAAATACGACAGATAGGATTCAAAGAAGATATCCTTTTTGGTCTCTCCTTCGGTGTGTGGGCTTTGTAATCGTGCAGTGGAGACGGTAGACAACCTTTTTCTTCATTGCTCTTTTGCTACTCAGGCTTGGGCATTTGTTCGGTTAGAGTTGGATTTTCAGTTCTGCGTACCTAGAAGGATAGGCGATCTGTTTCTTGAGAATTTTGGGGGAGGTTTGCTTAAAGGCAAAGCTTATGTGTTGTGGAATTGTGTTGTGAGGCAGCACTGGTTGATTTGGAAGGAAAGTAATAGGAGGCCTTCTGAAAAGAAAAGTCCCATCGATGAGAGATTTTGTAACAGTATACAGCATGTTGCTTCGTGGTGGTCTATATACTACAAGAAATTCTTTTGTAATTATAGCCTAAATATGATAGTTAGAGATTGGAAGGCTGCCATTGTCTAGCGTTTGGGGAGGGTTTTCTCAACCCACCGCCCTTAGGTTGTATCCTTTTTTGATAGACCAATGAATTCTTTGTATTTTATAAAAAAAAAAGAAAAAAAATTATATGAATAAATAACATAGTAGGGTTGTTCAAGAGTTGTTTCCAAATAGCTTCCTATTATTGTGAAACAAAATTCACTGAAAACGTATTCCAGTAATTTGAAAGGATTTTCCCCTATTTTCCTTCAATTTGTTTTCACATAACTTTTTTTAGAACACAACTTCTCTTTGAAAAACATGCTAAATACATGGTCATTTTAAGTGCATAATGACCTTCCTTTTACAAGCCACCTGGTCATCTCATCAAGGACGATATTTTTTAGGGAAAAATAAACTTATAATATCTAAAGTTTGAAGTAGGTATCTATTTGGTTCATAAAGTTTTAAAATGGACCTTTTTAGTTCTTGATGTTTGAGAAATTGTTCTAAATATTCCCTGAGCTCTTTTGACTATTGGTTGACTAACGTTAAAATGATGTTGCAGTTAAATGGGTGATTGTATTTGCTGACTTAGAAAATATATTAATTTAATAATAATATATATGTGTGGGTTATTGAGACTTTCTCTCTCCTTTCTTCTCTTCTCTTCTCTTCCTCTCTCCTCCCTCTCTCCTTCCCTTTCTCTAGCACACCTTTTCGCCACTGCCACCCACCGTCTTGTTGTTGTCGCCCACCATCTCCGACCAGTCACCCCTCTCCCAGATTTGGAAGAAAAACGCTCCTTGGAAGAGGAAGGAACGAAGAGTCCTCTTTGTTCGGTGGAAGAGAAGTTACTCTTCATAGGAGGAACCTCTTCATTCATCTTCCCAAAAAGAACTCTTACACTTCCTTTGAGTCGAAGAGGGAGTTCTCTTAGATCTAGAAGAGGAATGGGTGGTGGCAGCAAAGATCGCAGGCAGTAGTAGCGAAAAGGGGGCGGCGGCTGCGACGGCAAGGTGTGCCGGAGAAGAGGAAGAAAGGAGGAGGAGAGAGGAAGAGAAGACAAGAGAGTAGAGAGAAAGTGTTAATAACCCACACATACATTATTAAATTAATATATTTTCCAAATCGTTTGTTAAATAATAAATTAATATATTTTATCCTCAACCGTTCGTGGCTCTGAAGTTCTTTTGGGAGTTCAGGAACCATTTAGAATCATTTCTCAAACTTGAAGGACCAACCGTGTCTATTTTAAAATTTTAGGGACCAAATAGACGCTTACTTCAAACCACCTCAAGGACCAAAGAACTTAACTAATTAATTAGCCATAACTTTTATATTTTGAGAAGAAAATACCCCTACAAGCTACAACCAGATGAGCGAAAGTTTCATGCTACAAGCTACTGATCAAAAAACAGATCGTATTCGTTCTTAAATTATAGATTTGGAGAATTTAACGAACCAGCCATTGAAGAACAGAAGCACATCTAAAAGATACTCCTCCATGACAAATCGATCAATAGGTTGCAGATCCTGCTTCAAATAAAGGTCCAAGAAACACAAAGATTCAATTAAGGACCACATATAAATCTGGTAACATATCATGTAGTCATCAACTAATAAAAAATTTATAACCAGGCTAAAATAAAAGAGTTTAGAGACTAATTCACAACTTTTCCTAAAAAGTCAAGATAGTGAAGTATGATACAGAGATTATTTTTTACAGAAGTTTCCATTTACATTATCAGATTGTATATTAATAATATGATACAAATTTAACAACCGAAGATCAAAGTTGAAAGTCGTTACAGCATGTATACCATTGTATATTGATTTAAACATCGTTTTCAAAGTTATAGAAGTCCATTACTTTTTTTTTATAAGAAACATAAAGAATGAATTCAAATCAAAAAAGCCCAAAAAGGCGAAAAAACCTAAAGGCGGAGGGTACCCTCTGCAAAGAAACTACACATTCACAGCCTTCCAATCTTGAAGAATAAAAAAAAGACTGTATTTATAAAAAACTTTCTTATGGATTGTTGCCAACCAAGAAGCTATTTGCTTTGTATTCACACAAAAAGAATAAAGTGAGCATTCACATATGTCCATTATTATTGAAGCCCATTACTCATTTGTCCTTTATTATAATTTTGCATTATATTATCTTAGAGCATTCACATATGTCTATATATCTGACTCAAGTGAGTATTCTCTCCTAACATTTTGTTAATATGCATGATGATATAAAAGTGTTTGATCGTTTAAGGTTTCTTAGAACTTTTAGGGATTTCTCTACCACTTCGTAGTGGTCATTTATATACTACCCACTCAAGGAGTGTCACCAACTAACCTATTGAATCGTCATCACCAATCATCAAAAGGAATCATGTGTGCGCCTCATGTGCTGCCAGAAAACTCTTATGCAAACCTTAAGCACTGAAACACGTGGGGCGCACGCATTTTTCTTCTCGCGCCAGTCATTCTCAACTCAGCTTGTGTAGTACATCCTACCTATATGCTTAGTTGAGGTATGAGACCATTTCAAAAAAGGATCAGATTTTCTAACTATTCAGCTCGGTCAAATCTTGTGTTTTACATATTAGCACCGACTCTCTTGAGAGATTTTGTTTAGAGGCACTACGATGGTGGAAATTCCAGTAATCCCAGCTTAACAGTACAGTGACCTTATTGAAGTTTCTCATCTGACTTGTTGAACTCCCTACAAGAATTCGTCCAAAAGGACCAAAGATTTATGTTTTCCTTCCCACTAAGAAAGGTTTGATGCTGATTCGTTTTCTTTTTCTTTAACAAGAAACGAATAATGAAAATGAACAACAAAATTTCAAAGATACAAACTTTCGAAATAGTGAAAGAAATAACAAGCAAACAGGAAAAATAAGAACTGAACCTCAAAAGGGAATAAAGCAAAAAGAAAAATACATCAGAAAATGAAAAAGCTAACAATGGGTGGGAGAAATGAATAATTCCCAATTCAAACAAATGTCTTGGAGAGAGTAATCTGAAAAGAATTTGGAAGGAACACACCAAGATTTTAATCTAGCTGCTTTAGCATGGACTGACCAATGATTCTGCGAATACAAAGATGCTTTTTTTCCCTTTGGTACTTCAAGAATACAAATTCTGCTTTCATCACACTAGGTGAGAAGCCCACCGGGTTTGCTAATGTATTCAACTTCAGCTTAGCCAATGGGGAACCAAATTAACTTTATCTTCTTTTTCTCAACATTCTACAAGGGCCAAGAGTCGATCGTCAACAGTGCACTTCAATATAGCTAAGTTCAAGGCTTCCCAATGGTGTTCTTTATCGAAATTATTTAGTAACTATTCCCCTAGCACGATTTCCTCTAATTGGAATGCTTTGATTGTAATTCGTTAAATTTAACTGTTTTTTTGTTTTCCCTTTGTTCACTGTCTCGAGAGTTTGTATCCTTGGACATTACTGTTCCTTTTCATTATTTCAGTGAGAAATTCGTATCTTTTTTTTCCTGAAATCCGTGTGTCCGGGCCAGCTTACGCGCACCTCGACTAATCACGGGCCAACCGTCTGACACTACTACATTTGGTTGACAAGGTAACTCGTAGGATATTAAATCCTAGGTAGGTGGCCACCATGGTTTGAACTCATTCCCTCTAAGTCCTTTGCTATTTAAATTCGTATCTTGTTCAAAAACAAAAAAACATTCTCCAATTCAAATTCTTGAATAAGAACAAATCAGGGCAATGTTTCTTGAGGTATTTCTTCAATGATGTTCTTTTACAACCGTCACCCAAAACTCTTTTTCTCCATGAAACAATCTTCAAAAAGAAAGATTTTCTGGTTTCTGTTGGCTTTTTTAATTGATTTCAAAAACTTCTAATCCCTAATATTGCATAAAACTTTAATAAAAGATGAGAATTTTGAATCTTCATTTCAAGGACAGGAGATGAAGGGTCAGAAATAATGTTGTCTAATTGATTAGATACTGAGGAGACTTTGATGTTTTCCTTTTCAGGGATGACTTCTAGGAATGGTGAAAAGAGAACTTCATACGAGATTTCATTCCATGCTTCGTTGTCAACTTTAGATTTAGGGGAGAAAAGCTCAGTTTCAACGCTGCTCTATGCTTACAATAGAATCTATATCATAAAAGATCTCATCAACTGGGGATGATTGAATGTTGCTAAATCCATTTGTTGAGTTGATAATCCCGAGAGAAAAGCCAATTCATCAATCAGTTGTTTGCATGGAATGTGGAAGATGTTGTAATAAACGATCTTCCACTAGAGATTCATCGTGAGAAAAACTTCCCTTTTCAATAAATCCCAAGATTTTCATGCAACTTCCTCAAATAAATCAGAATCGATTTTTTCTTCCCGATTTTCCTTAGTAAATGTAACATTGTTAGTTACTGTCCCATTTTTTCTCGTGTAAAAGAAGGGATATGCTTCATTTTTTTTTATATGAAACAAATATTTCATTGATGGTATGAAATATACAAAAGGCCATAAAGGCAATTACAAGAATGCTCTCCAACTTGTAATAAAATCATTTAGAGAGTAATTGTTGAAGGGGGATAAAAACATTTACACCAACTAAGAGCTACCACAATAACTCTATCAAAAAAAAGTTCCAAAAGAGAGTGCTTTGTCTTTGAAAACCCGATTGTTCCTTTCAATCCACAATGACCATAAGAAAGCTCGAACAAATTGAACCCACAATATAGCTTTGTCTTTGCTTAAGGGGGTGTCCCACCATGATGCTATAAAGTAATGTAGTTGGTTCTGTGTGGAGAGCCGTCTGCCATCCAAAAACCGAGAGCATCCTGTTCCAAAATTGAGTGGCAAAGGTACAATGAAAAAAGAGGTGACCCTGAGTTTCTGGAGCTTCCAAACATAGGTGGCAACAGTGTGGAGAGAGGGACATATAAGGATGCTTCCTCTGTTTTCTGTCATGTGTGTTTAAGGCCCCATGGCTAAGCTCCCAACAAAAGAACTTGATTTTCTTGGGGCAATTCCCATGCCATAGACAAGGGTAAAGGGCGGAGGGTGGATAATCAATATTAGAGCTAAGAATTTTGAGAGCAGATTTTATAGTGAAAGTACCCGAAGATTCTAGGGGCCAACTCCATAGATCTTCCTAGGGGAGGGGGCGCACAATCTGGTTGATCAGATTTGTTAACCTCATCCACTCATCAAACTCTTCCTCCTAGAGAGGCCTGCGATACTTGTGTGTCCATGAGGAGGTGGTTCTTGACCACTGTTCAGCAATAGTAGCTTCCTTATGAGTTGCTAGTGTGTAGAGATTCGGAAAAAGAGAAGATAATGGACCCTGTGCTAACCATTTATCGTTCCAGAAACTGATGTTGCTCCTATTCCCCACCCTGCATACAGCATTGTCCTTTATAAAGGTTGTTAGTGGGGTGATTGCAAACCACGGTCATTTGTATTTAGGATGGGAGCAGGTAGGCCAAAAAGTGGAGCGGGATCCATAGTATTTTGCTGATATGAGTCTTCTCCAAAGATGGTTGGGTTCAGTTTTGTAATGCCATACCCATTTGGATAGAAGAGCACAATTTCTCTGTTTTATATTCCCAATGTCAAGGCCACCTTCATTGATAGGAAGTTGAGTTCTCTTCCAATTAATGGGATGAGAGTTACCATTGCTGTTTCCTTCCCATAAAAAATCCCTAAGGATCCTTTCCAATTTTTCTGCTGCTTTGCCCGATAGTTTGAAGAGTGAAGTAGTATGTGGGAAGGTTGGTGAGGACGGATTGAAGGATGGTGAGTCTCCCTCCTTTAGAGATGTAATTGCTACTCCAACTACCAACGAGATTTTGAAGTTTCTCGATGATAGGCAGCCAGAAGGAATCCTTTTTTAGGTTGCCATTTAGGGGTAATTCTAGATAATTGCTTGGCCAAGTCCCCGATGTACAGCCCCATGCTTTGACAATATTGTTGATGGTCAGAGAGTCGATAGAGATAGCAAAGATACTTGATTTGTTGTAGTTGATGTTGAAACCCGATGCCATCTCGAAAAACTTAATGATCTTGTGGAGGTTTATGACGTACAAAGGATCCTTGTTGGAGAAAAGGAGAGTGTCATCTGCAAAAAAAATAGATGATTTATCTTAATTAACCACACCTAGAGGCATAACCTTGGAGATGGTCATGTTATTGTCCATGTTGAAGCAGCCGACTGAGAGCGTCTGTAATGAGGATGAAAAGAAAAGAGGAAAGGGGGTCCCCCTTGTCTCAGTCCCCTAGTGGCAGTGAATTTCCCTCTTGGCTTTCCATTTATGATGATAGAGAAACTTGCAGTGGAGATACATGCCCTTATCCATTTCCTCCATATCTTCCCAAATCCTTTGTGTTTAAGGACCATATCTAGAAAATACCAATCAACCATGTCAAAAGCCTTCTCAAGATCGAGTTGGATCACCACCCCATCAGATTTTCTTGCTTTCCAATCATCGATAATCTCGTTAATTTCTGATGTCTTCTAATGCTCTTGGGAATTGGAGAATCTTTTTCCATGTGTTTCATCATGGACCACAAGTGACGTGCTCGCATTCTTCATTTGAATTTGGCTGAATAAGAAAGGATGGTTCATGCATGGCTTTAGCATTTATTTCTCTAGTTCAACGGTGTATCATTAATTCTGACTTCCTTTGGGAATGCTTTACTTAATCATTTTAAAGAACTCTCATACATGACCTGAGCATATATATTCCCAAATACTTCCCTGTTCCACTGTTTTAATATCGACTTAATCATTTTAAGCTCCTGAATGAAAAAAAGACCCTGTCGACCCACTGGGCTTTGCTTCAACCCACCATCGATCAAGGTCCTCAAGGAAAGACTTGTGGCAAGCCACAAGTTTTCGAATCTAAAAGGCAGGGACCCCATCTGAAGCTCCATGTTTCTGTTAAGGTTGGAAAATGATCTAAAGTTGGTCTGGAAAGCTCAACTCCTCTGGAATCTTTGAATTTAGTAATCCAATCTGAACTTACGAAGAATCTATCAATAAGGGAGAAAACTGGAGAATCTCTCCTATCAGACCATGTAAAGTTATCGTTGGTAAGGAGAACTTCCATTAAATTGAGATCGTTAATCAAGGTATTAAAGTTCCTCATCCTTTGAGAGATTCTGCCTTCTGAGCTTCTTTCAAAGGGCATAAATATCATATATTAGACTCCATTAGTTATTTGTCCTTTATCGTGATATGATACTCAAATAGTTTGAAGCTCTCATATATGTAAATGACTAGTAGATGGAATAATATTGAGTACTTTCTCATAATATTATGTTAATAAACAATAGTCACCCCAAAAAAAATCTTTTGAAGGAGACCAATCAAAAAAATTTAATCACATGAAATAGAACTCTTTACACAAAGTCTCTTTAACATACCTTTAGTAGATAACATTCACAAATCGATAAAAAATGAAATATATTAAAGTCTCGAAATAAAGAGTACCTCAAATTTGCTTGACGGAAATATATTGAGTCGTCGTATCCTTTGAGGATAAGTTAACTCTGCAGTAAACTTCTGTTTGCCATAAGTAATCCCAGAAAGTGTTAAAGGTGGATCAGGTTGCTCTGGACAGCTGATGGTTCCAAATTCATGAGACTTTCCAGCAACTAGCTGAGCTTCAAAGAGAAGGTGAGGCCTTGGAACTATCACACAAAGAGAAGATATAAATAATAACTGAAAATAAAAAATCTACTAAATAATATGAGAATCAAAAGGAATGACCGATCCACCAATTCCGAAAGGTTAAAGATGACACGCTTGATTGGGAAAATGTGTGAGAAAAAAATTTTCTTCTTAAATATCTTTGAAAATTCAACATAAGAAAAAAATGCATTAAATCTTTCAACTTTTGTATAACTGCACCCAATTATTACCATTATTTTCATCCAAGAAGACGGTGTTGGTTGGAGTCAATATTGCGAGAGAAGTGATTTTACGCCAGGCTTCAGCTCTGGGATGTAAAGCAAAGTCTCTTCCCATCAATTATTTGGGTGTCCCCTTAGGAGGTAACTACAGAAAGGTGTCTTTTTGGGATTACATTGTGGATAAGTTTAGGGCCAAGTTCGAAAATTGGAGAAACCTTGTGCTTTCAAAGGGAGGCGGCTCACTTTGGCTCTCTCTTTTTTTTTTCTTTGGATAAGAAACCGAACTTTTCATTGAGACTAATGAAAACAGAAAACATATACACGGGCATACCAAAACAAAAGCCCTAAAAGAGGAGCCCGAGCTAAAGAAAGGGCTTCCAATCCAAAAGAGGAGCCCCACTTAAACCGAACTTGGGCTCTCTCTGTTTTTAATAGCATTCCCCATTTACGCTTTCGCCATTTTTAAAGCCCAAACAGAGTGGTTATGGAAATGGAAAGGATCGTAAGAAAATTTCTTATGGAATGGTCATGTCAACACCCCAGCATCACCTAGTGAGTTGGATCGAACATCTATGCCAAAGATCTATGGTGGGCTAGGGATAGGTGCCTACAAACAAAGGAATAATGTCCTCCTTCAAACATGGCAGTGGAGATTCATTCAAGAAGAAAACCCTCTGTGGTAACGAGTGATCTCGAGTATTTATGGTAAAGATCCCCACGATTGGCTGCCTTCCCCTCCTAAAGGGACTCCTAAGGGGAGGCTGTGGGAGGAAATCTTCAAGCTGAGTACTTCTTTTATGAGATTTTTATCTTTTAAGGTTCGAAATGGGCAAAGAATCAAATTTTGGAAGGACACTTGGTTGGGAAGCCTCCCTCTAGAAATCCATTTTCCAAATTTGTACAGAATTTCAACAAAGAAAGACAGTACAGTGGCAAAGTGTTGGAATAGTGAGCAAAATGATTGGAGCTTGGGCTTTAAAAGAGGAATCATGGAAAGAGTGCTGAACAGTTGGATGCGTCTGGAGATGCTAAATTCCTTTAGATGGGGTTTGGGGGAAGACAAGGTTGAGTGGACTTTGGGAGGTGAGAAACCTTTTACCACTAACTCCACCTTTCTCAAGCCAACGGAAGTTACCCCGCTCTAAAGTCCCCTCTTATAAATCTAATTTGGAAGTTCTCTTGCCTTAAGAAGATCAAAGTTTTTTTGTGGAACCTTGCTTATAGAAGCCTCAATACTCATGAAAAGTTGCAGAAAAAACTTCAAAATTGGGCTTTATCCCCCTCGGCATGTTCGCTTCGCCTTAGTAGCAAGGAGACAATCGACCACTTGTTCCTCCATTACAAATTTGCCTCAAAGTGCTGGTCTTTTTTGATGAAGGAATGCGGTTTCTCAGGTTGCCTTCCCCGTTTGATAGATGATTGGCTTGTTGAAGTGGTTCAGGGAGGCTCTCTAAAAGGGAAAGCCAAGGTTCTTTGCAGTTGTGCTAGTAGAGCTTGTCTTTGGAGTATTTGGAAAGAAAGAAATGAAAGAACTTTCAACGATGAGTCTACTCCTTTTAATATTTCACAATATTTTTTGTGAAATGTACAAATTACTACAGCCTCTTGGTGCCTTACTCATTGGAGATTATTTTGTAATTACAATTTAGCTTTACTCTCACTCAATTTAAAAGCTGTGATGTGATAGTTTTCTAGGAGGGCCTCCTCGACCCTTGCCTGTAGACTGTCTCCTCCTTTTGTTTTAATATATTTTGTTTCTTATCAAAAATAAAAATAAAAATTTTGGGTGGACAAATATAAACTTGCTAGCTAATTTCCATCTAAAGAAGATATTAAACCGATCAAAAGTGACATTAAATTCTTGCAACTGAGTGATCTCATGTTCCACTGAGAGTATCTCTCAAAGGCACCAAAGCATCTAACAGGAATATGAAAGAAAATATATGATTCTTGGTGTAAATAGGGTTCTCACAATTATTATCAAACTAATCAATCATGGTATTTACTTACATCACTTCTATATACTCCGATTGGAACAATTTCCCTTCATATATTTGTAAGATAAGATATTGCGTCGTAAAAGGAACAGAGTAAATAATCATATTTAGGCTCAAAGTTAAAGAAAATCACCACTATCCACTTTCCATCCATCACTAGATAGCACTTGTATACGACCCCATAAATCTTCTAAAAAATCCTGTAAAACACCACCAAAAGAAAAATATTAATGTAATTAATGTTGCTAATGTCATTACAAAAATGTGACATGTTAGACAAAAAAACAAACTTTATCTATTTTAAGCTCTGGTGGAGGCAGAGGCATGGGGAGGAGGGAGGAGGGAGGGAGGAGGGAGGGGTAGGCAGGGAAGGCATGGTGGGAGGTTTTTCTCCATGGACTGGTTTATTATGAAAATTCTTTTACTATTGTTTACAGTAATTTGTTCAGTTTCTAAAGGCCACTGGTTTTTAGCTAGTAGCCCGAGTTGGGTAGTTAGTTGGGGGTTGTTAATCCTGAGTTAGTAGTCCATTGGCTGTATTTGACTTCCTAACTGCCATAAAATAACTGAGATCCTGTTGTCAATCATTTACGTTTTGTACTTTCTGCTTCTAAAATATAATCTTGCTTATGAACCATTCTTTTGTTATGTTTTTATTCTTTTAAATCTCTTATTGAAATCATAGCTAAATTTGAAAAATAAACAACAGGCTTTTAGATACTCTTATTTTTAGTTTTAAAATTTTGAATTTTCATTATGATTTCTAGAGCATTTTAATAAATGTATATTAGAAAAAAATCCTTAGTTAACAAGCTTAATTTAAAAAATTCGAAAAACTAAAAACAAAATCATTGTCAAACCAATTGTGTTTAGTTCAAATCATGACCATTTACATACGCAGTCCATTAATAGAAGGAATATTCTCCAACTTAAATAACACAAGTTTTTCTTATCACATGACAGATTGGACACCAGCACGCCTTTATTTATGACAGATATGACTAATGGGCTTGTCAGATAAAAGAAACAGTCAACCTGAAACACAGATTTCCAATTAAGTGGAAAAGCTTAGAATGATGATAATGAATAATCACAACTAATCAAGCAAAAAAGGTATACCTTCTCATTAAGAGTTTTCTCAACTTCACCATCATCCTCAAAAAAGGATAAACCAGTGTCGAAGGTGTGCCTTCGGATACTTAAGTAAGCTTCTACTCCAACCATAACTCTCTCGAGCTCTTCAGGAACTTGCTGCATTTAAAAGTGAGTTATCAATAGTAGAGGCTCTATGAATAATTCTTTTAGTGCAGTCAACTAGGAAAAGAACCCAATTTTCTCTCAAAGTTAAGAGAATAAAGGAGGGGAGCACAGAGAAGGAGAAGAAATTAAATAACTATATCAAGATTTCTAAGTGTGTTAAGACACCAGTGTGGCCCAAACTAAGATTGCCACATTGAAAAATGGAAAAAAAAAAAGAAGTATTTTCTTTTAAAAACCATGAAACAGGAAGTATTGAATGAAATGCAAAACACAAAAGTTTCTTATTAAAAAAAAGTATAAAACACAAAAGTGAGAATATTATCAAATATGACTTTAATGTCTCAAGCCGAGTGACCCTAGGTCAAACCATGACCACTTGGTTTAATCCAAGGGATTTCACCAGATCTTCAAAAGTTATTTTTTAAAAAAGATGTTTTACATTATTAGAAAAATATTCTAGTAACTATACAAAATTATACGTCAGAGAAAAGTTCTTTCAGTAGCTGGACCTGTTAAAGTACATAAAAAGTAAATTACATCAATACAAGGCTCAATTACCTAGGATATAAATCCAATTCAGAACAAGAACATGAGAACAATGTTGAGAAAGGTGTCCAGAAACGAAACAACAATACCTCAATCAGTTCAGCTCCTCCCCAAGGAAAACAAGATAGAATGCAAGTAATGTAAAAGTCCGCGCGTGCCTGCCATGCGGGGTTTCCCTTCTCTTCATCCACTGTCGTGGCAGCTGAAGATAATAATGTTTCAAAAACAACAACTAGAGAAGTGGATAGCAGGACTTTACTGCTCATCTACGTAAGACAAAAAAAAATGAACCCACTTAAAAAGTCAGAATCTATTCTTGAGATGGAAAAAGAAAAGTCTAAGATGTTAAGTTTTCCAAATCTAGAAAAATGACAATAACTCAGTCATAAAAAAATATATCATTAATAGCAAAACCATACCATTGCAGTAAGAAAGCGTAACAAAATCCGGATCCTGTGGCAATTTCCAGAGTTTAAGGCATCCTGAGAATGAACTAAGAGTAAGACAAAATATCTCCGATGAAATGATTGAAATTTGAATAGTAAAGATAATAGTCAGACATCCCAAAAATATTCAATTTATTCCTCTTCTATGATTGGCACTAACAGAAGAGTAATCACATAACAAAGAATACTTACCCTAAATTGCACCATGCTTAAGCTAGTTTAATTAGCAAGAATTGAAAGTTGCACCATCCAAGACACCGAAATCAAAATATGTTTAAAATGTCCAACCACCATAAGAGAGGAATTTAAGGAATGCCCAGTAAAGGTAAAAGCAAGAAAAGATGGCATGAACGCTTTACCTCACTATAGTTGAAAATTTATTAGAATAGAATAAGATGTTTAAGGATGCATTGAAGTGGTTTTCGGGGGTATGACTTAAAAATCATACAAGCATGAGTAGCAGTGACTTGTCAGGGAACAAGTAGTGGAAGTCAATCATGATGTCAAGTAATTGGATATTGTAAGTTTTTGACACTGAGGTGTATTAAATTTTGAACATTAAGGGTTTGACGTTCTATGGCTATTATTTTCTTTGCAAATTTAAACCATATATAGTTTTTAAGACTTTTTTATATAAGAGTGTCCCACCTAGCTCTAAGACAATAACAATATCTCTTTGTCCCTTCTCACCTTAAAAGCAATTAAGAGACTTGTCACTTTGAGGTAATTGGATCAAACTTTGAGGGGATGGGTGATTGTGGACATAGGAGTTTAGAAAGGAAAGAATTGACGCACAAGGAATGAAAGCACCTCAACCATTTGATCTTTGAAATTGCTAACCTGAAAATTTGTATGAGTTTGCTCCACAATTTTCTTCACAAAGTCTTCATTTTCCAAATTCATCAATCCAATCTGTATACACAACAAGATAGACATATGTCACTATAACAAACTGAAACAATCACATAATATATTTTTCTAAGGAAACTACAACAATATTGAAAATTATGTGTACTGCCATGAAATACGTTAGAGGGAAATAAAATTAGGCTATGTTTACCTACATCAATATAAATTATAAAGGAATCAAAAAGAAATCAATTGAAATAGTATAAATAAAAATACAACATTATGTCTACTGAAGATTTATTAGGAAAAAATCACAGTTAGACAAATTCTCTTTGATTTAATTTAGGAAAATTACACTTTTGGTCTCTTAGATTTTAGTTTGGGTATTATTTTAGTTTGGGTTTTGTTTGATTCCTAGAGTTTAAAAGTAAACTTCAATCGTAAAAGTTTGAGAAATAGTTCTAAACGATCTCTGAGGTAGGGGTGAACAAAAAATTCCAGAAAATCGACCCGTCTGATCAAAACCAATCAAGCTAATGTCGGTGTCAATTTTTTCAAGGTCAAACCCGATGTCAAAAAACCAAAAATACCAACCAACCTATAAATTATTTTTTAAAAATTAATTAAATGTGAACTGCACAGTGTGCAATGTGCTACAAATTATTTCAATCTGCAATACCGCTCTGAGAAAACCAATGGCATTGTTGGTTTTCACAAAATGGTAAATTGTTTTTTTTTGGTCTTTTTTATTTGTTTGAAGTTTGCACCTCTGCCCTCTCACCCCTCCCTCTCTCTATCTATTCTTCTCCCTCTCTCTGCTCTCCCCTTCTCTCTTCTTCCTCTCCCTCTCTCTGTCTATCATTCTCTCTCTCTGTCCATTCTACCCAAAACAAGAATTGTTCCTAATTTTGTGGTGGGATCAATAAGTCAAGAACAAGTTATCCCATGGTAAAGCAGCAACAGTAATAAATATGAGAATGATTTATGTTCACTCCTTTCCACGCTCGATACATATATGTATCCTTGAGCCATAGTTAAAACCAAGTGGTATTCACAAGGTGCAAAAGTTGCTCCAACATGCGAATCATAATTAGATATCTTTTGTGACAAAGCAATTTCCTCCCTTTTCTTTGAGGCATCTACAATAAGTAAATAATATTTTCAAGGAATTTTGAAATTTTTTTTTTTTTGAGAAACGAACTTTTCATTAAGGTAAATGAAAAAGAAGCATATACAAAGGGCATACAAAAACAAAAGCCCAGGAGGAGGAGCTCTAACTAAAGGAAAGGCTTCCAATCAAACCCAACTGATACAAAACAACTTTGAAACAGAATCCCAAAAAGAGACATTTAGTCTAATCAGGTCCCAAACCGACTCTCCATCTCTCTCCACCCCCTAAAAATTCTATTGTTACTTTCCAACCAAATTCCCCATAAGATAGCAAAGAAGGACACCTGACACAAAAATCTCCCTTTCTCGCGGAAAGGAGGAAACAAAAGCACTTCCTCAACCATTGCATCCCAATCTCTATGACGAGCCCAAGAAACCTCAAAAAACTCAAAGAAACGGCCCCAAATGCTCTGAGAAAAACTGCAGTGCCAAAATATGTGATCAAGATCCTCTGATTCTTGCTTGCATAGAAGCACCAATGTGGCCCCATAGAACGCACCAAGGAATTTTGGAATGTTGCATGCTACAGAGCCTCTAGTAGATATTTATTTTGAGCTTTTTCCAAGATATTCCTCTATTCTGAAAAAAAGAGGAAAAAAAAGTTGTCCTTGCATCACAATCCAACTTCCAACAGGAGGGGGATCATCCCACGCTAAGAAGCTATCATATTTGTCCATATGAAAGTACTGATATTGATCCTTTTTCCACACAATGCAACCTTCAGCGGCCAGTAGCATAGTTCATGACAAGAGCAAGATTTAGGATGCAATAAGAGCTAAGACATTCTCAATAAGTCCTTTCCTAGTTAACGCTTTATTTATGAGAAAACTAAATTTCCTTGAGATGAAATGGAAGGATACACAACAGAAATGCAGAAAAGATGAAAGCCCAAGAAAGAAGGAGCCGATAAAAAAAATAAAAAGCTTACAAACTACGTACGTAATTACAAAAGAAGGCTTCAATTTAAAATAATGAGAAATAAACAATACTCACAAAATTCCAAAGTAACTGAGACCTAAAGAGAGGCATGAACCTAGCTACGACCTAAACCTCCTCCCAAAGCTCTCCACTCCACTAAAAACCTCCATGTTCCTCTCAATCCAGATATTCCATGAGATCGCAAAGAAGTTCGCACACCAAAGAGCAGTCTCTCTAACTTGAAATGATGGATGGAATAGGATCTCCTACATCATAGTCCTACATGATCTATTACGAACCATCTAAACCTTGAATGCCTCCAAACAACTGTTCAAAATCATGAAAGTAAACTAACAACTCCAGATAACATGCTCCAAATTGAAACCTCCTTACACAAGCTACACCACTAAGACCCAAGAAAATAAAAGACAATCTCTGGACACGGTCAATGGTGTTAATTCTTTGATCGGAAACCAGCCAAGCAAAGAATCCAACATTCTTAATCTTGAGAATACGAACCTTCCAAAGCCAGGAGAAAAAGGACAGGAGGTAAGAACCAAGACCAAGAAAAACTAATAGTCAATGCCATAAGCTCTGCATAATTTTCTAAGGCTGCCAATAGTTTATTATCATTTTTTCTTACATGAAGAAATAACATTAAACAGGAGGAGGAAGGAGACAGAAAAGAGAGGGATAAGAAACTCCCCAAAGGCCAAGGCAATTACAAAAGAAACATCCCACTTGACTAAGATTTAAAGAAAAAAAATATAATTAAATAAAGCTTTGAATTGAGTTGTAAATGAGGAGAGAAATATCTAACAAGAAACCAAATGACATCAAACGAAGTGAAAGAGTTCTGAAAGATCCTCCGATAAACCAAATTCTCCAAAGAGCAAAAAAAACAACGAAGCACTGAACAATCTAGCTTGCAACTTTCCTTTTAAAAGTCTTATAAAAACCTGTCCTTTTGAAAGGATGCACGCATAAGAACTCAAGAGTTGCATTCTTGCAACTTCTAGGAAAGCATCAAGCAATAAAACCACATGCAAGGGGATTATTCCAACAACCGATAGCAAAAACACACCAAAAAAAAAATAATAATAATAATAATTAAAATTTAGATTTAATCTTCTTCTGAATGAGTCAAGCTTTCATTGAGAAACATGAAACCTAACTGATAATTTCAAAGTGGTTTAGTAATTGAAGCCCATAAAGAGGTACTAAATCTAACAACTCCACTTCTCTTCTCAGCGACTTCTCCACTTCTCCACTCCACACTACAAGCCCAACACAAAGGAGGAATGCCTCTAAAGACGACCTAAGGTGTTAACTCTCCCATACAAAAAAAAAATTGTCACGTAAAGGATTTGATCTTCTTTGGGATCTTAACCTTCCAAAGACAAGAGAAAGAAGGGGCATTAGGAGGGGATGAAGGGATACATAAAATTTGGAACAAAAGTTACAAAAACATCCCCTAAAAGGGTGGTGCCCAAAAGAGAACATCCCTCCTCTCCAGACCCATATGAACATTACCCAAAAGGAAAAGAAAGGTAGACACATCCACGTCTCCCTATCCGATAAAGGATGGCGGAAGTCTAGCAATAAAGAAAAATTAGAACCCGAGAAAGGCATAATAGAGACCACCGAATGCAACATTTTATCAAAAAGGTGATCCAAACGAGGGAACAAGCCACAAAGGGACTTATCTCCTACTCAAAAATAATTCTTTGTACCTTCTTCAAAAAAGCATTTTACAAAGAACAAGGGGAAACCTGAAGAAATAGCATTCCTAGGACTTCTTGAATAACCTTTAGACCCGCAAGCCGAGACCCACTCAAAAGGGTGCAGATTGTATTTACTCACAATGATCGTATGCCATAAAGCATTCAGTTCCTTAGAGAAACACTACAGTCATTTGGTCAACAAGGCTTCATTACGCAACCTAAAGTTACCAATGCCCAAATCCCTGGAGCCAAAGGCCGTGAAAAAATCTCCCACTAATCAACTACTTCCATAATTCTCAAGCCTTTTATGCACCAAAATGAGAACTTAAAATAGGGAAAGGGAGTAGGTCGAAATCCCACTTAGGACTGACGGGATGAAAGTTGATCTTCCCCCTTAGGCAAGAAAGCCTTTTTCCAAGAAGAAAGGTTCTTTTGAACCTTTTCTAAGACAGGCTTCCAAAGCGTCAACCTCCTCAAATTGCTTCCCAAAGGGAGGCCGAAGTAAGAGAAAAGAAAACTACTCACCTCAAAACCCACCAAAGAGACCTAGGTGTCCAACTTCGAAGAGTCACAATTAATCCTTGAGACCAAACTGCTCACAAGGCGCACCCCAATTAGCAAGGGCATGGGGCCTTGCAGTGTCACCTATCATGAGGTCTTGTGTTAGATCATTTGGGTGAGCTTCATTGATGTCTCCTAGGTTTGGGTATTGAACAAGCACATTTGCCCCCAGGGTAAAAAGGCTAAAAGAGTTACCGATTCTGAGTCATCCAAAAATCCCAAAGACCAAACATTTTCTTCTATTAATCTTGAGGCCTGAAATAGACTCAAAGAACAAAAGAAAACCATTAAGATTAATGAAGCACTACTATTGGCTGGAACAAAAGAAGAGAGTATCATCAACCAAGAAATGGAGGTGAAAAAGATGCATACTATCTCTTTCCACCTTAAACCCCTCAATAGCACCCTTCTCCACTCCAATTTAGACCAATCTGCTGAGGGTTTCAACCACCAAACTAAAGAGGAAAGAGGAGGGGGGTCGCATTGCCTAAGACCTATAGAAGCAAAAATCTTACCTCTAGGTCTGTCATTGTTTAGCTCTTTGGGGAGGGTTCTCTCTACCCTCTGCCTTTAGGCTGTCTCACTTCGGGATTTTCCCTCTTTTAATACAACTTTTTGATGTTGTTTATCAAAAAAAAAAAAAATACACTCCACCAAGCCCTCCATTTAAACCCAAACCCTTTCTTCCAAAGTACCTCGTCCAAAAAATCTTAGTTAACATGAACATAGGCTTTTCCAAAATCTATCTTGCAGATCACCCCTTCCTCATTCTTCTCTCTATAGTCTTCAATCTTCCGGCCAACATTTTGACGATTATCTTATAAAGACTCATAACCAAACTAATCGACCAGACGTCCCTGACCCTTTTCACTTCCACCTTTTCAGGGATAATACAAACATAGTTCTCTCATTCATGGAAGCATGTAAAGCATCATAACCCCTATCTCATAAAATTCACTGAAAACCTTCCAAAGATCCTCCTCGATGCACTCCTTGAAAGAAGGCCATAGTGAAATCATCGAGTGCAGGGGATTTATTTCTATCAAACCGAAAAACCACCCTTATGATTTCATCCAAAGTGAAGGGGCCTTCTAGGCCTTCCTTATCCGAAATGGGACACCATTGCAAGTCTTCTAGGAAAGGTACAGAGAAAGGGGGAGGAGCATAATTGCTTGGAAAGAAAGAGACAATCTCCCTCTCTCACCACCTCTCCACTGTCGTTCTCTAAAGATTCAATGAAGTTCTTGTTCCTACTTCCTTTGGCAAAATTATGAGAAAGAGTGGAGTTGTAATCTTAACTAGACTGCTTGCACATAATGCACCGATTAGGATCGAGGTTGAGCAAAGGAAATATTCTTTGCAACTTCACACAAGTATTCATACCTTCTTGAAGAAAAGTCCATGTTAAAACCTTAATTTTCTTTGGAACCTAGAGATTCCAAATTTTTTCATGAAACATAGATATCTATGGATGCTCATATGGACCCTTTTTTTCACAAAAATAACTTGACCTAATTAACATTATCAAGAGATCTGGGATTTTGAAAAGCAATGGTTGCATGAAGCATGAGACGTCTAATGTACATAGCCAAAAGGTCGACCTTGTATCGTGAACTATAGTAAAAGATTTGGAATTGCCACATTCTTGAATCTTACTTCTATTATAAATAGATTCCTAACAAAATGAAACCTCAAAAGCTTCCTTTTTCTATAAGAAACTGAAACATGCAATTTTGTAAAATCAAAATAACGAAATATAGGAAAAGGAGAAATGCCTAGCCAATGTAGCTATAATGTCACTCTCCAATTGGCACGAACGATACTTATTTTTTTTTGGGATAAGAAGGCACAAACGATACTTAGAAGAACAAAAAAAAAAAACAATATCACAAGGAAGACTATTGCATTTCATAAATTTGAATCTCAAGTTCGGCATTTTGAGGGAAACATTTAGAAACTTTAAATATTTGTACAATTGTACAATAACATGAAACAAATAATTGAGTTCTAGATCACACAATGTAACAACATAAGCCAATCCACGAAATACATAAACTTAAAGAAGGATATGCACAGGAGGTTTGAAGGATGTAGTGTACTTTACCAGTGTCCCGTACAAAGGAATCTTATGAGGCAATTGTTCAACACATTGCAGAAGGAACTGTAAGACGATTAAAAAACAGAGTAAATACCACAAGCATACAGTAGTTAGACACAACTCGCACTTGACATGAACGGATACGACTCAAAATTAACCAACAGAAATGCTCAGATTACACGTACAAGTAATAAAGTAGATAGCTCAATATACCCAGGAATAAAGCCACGCGAGATGGTAAACAACTTAACCAGTATAATTCCATTTAATACAAAGACTGCATTTTTCGCCAACAACCAAAGAAATTAAGAGCAATAAATGTGTAGAAACAAGTAATTACGGGCAAAATTTCATCTCCATAGTGATCCAGCTCCCGCCGAATCGCAGCAAAGCACGTCTCCTGCAAATGGCCGATAAAAATCAACGACCCAAAGTCGAGTGCTAGAGAGAAAATGGGAAGGAGGGTGAGAGAGAGAGAGAGAGAAACGGACAATATGATCTTTGAAGTCGGAGGAGGTGCCATATTCCGGGGACTTGTCGCCAATTCGAAGAAGAAGACTCTTCCAGCTGCTCATTCTCCGTATAAGCAGGAAGGAAGTCTTGGAGAGGGAAGATTATGAGATGGGGAAGTGGGTTCGAATTAACACACGGCCCACAGGACTGTAGAAGCAGAGGAGCTTCGGAGGTGGGAAAAAATGGGGGCCTTTAGAGAGAGAAGTGGGAGATTGAGAATGTTAGCTTCGAGGAAATAACAGGCTTGAAAACAGAGGGGGGATTTGAAGAGTTTTGGGATTTAAAATTACGCACTTCACCCAAACCCTAGAATAATAAACAAATGGCTCATGGTAGTAGATACAGTGAGTTTTTTGGGATATCAGTGCAAGTAGCACAAAATGGATTTTTATCCCTTTTGAGGACTTAAAACAATGGGTTTGATTAGTGATATGAAAATAGAAATCTAAAATCAAATGATTAAATGAAAACAGATTTATATTCTTTATTTTCACATGTAATTTGTTATATATTGATAAGTCATTGATTATCAACTAAATATTTAATTTAATCTAAAATATTATTAATATATATTATATTTTTACATGTTTTAATCTAAACGAAAAAAAGGATTTTAATCTGTGCCCTCATCACACGTTACACCAATCTTGCCGTCATCACAATTTATGGCTCCTAGTGCTGACAATACGGCCAAGAGCGATAACGAGAGATCTAAGAAAGCGAGAGAGAGCGAGAACTAGAGAGGGAGAGCGAGAGATATCTAAGAGATCTGAGAGATTTGGGCAAGAACGAGAACGAGAGAGAGATTGTAAGAGATCTAAGAGATTTGGACGATTCGTTGGAGACGTGGTCTAGTAGTGTGACCTCGACTCGGAGCCACCGCCTCAATCTCCTCTCTCCAATTTATTCTCGTCTCTGAAGCAAGTAACTCCCAGTTTCAATTTCATTTTCAATTATTCTCCCTCTCATGATTCTCACTCATAATTTGTAGGTTCATTTGCAAAATAGGTTAAAAATGGTTGAAATTGGAGCGACAATCGCTACAACTGTTTATCTGCCATTGCCAGGAGAAAACGATTGTTCATCAGTCGAAGAGTCGCTCCATGTTTTTCCATTTGCCCCAAACCAACAATATCTCAACCCTGCAAGAAAGCAACGATTTTCTTTTTTTTACGTGGAATTTGAGAATTTGTGATTCTATCTTGTTGTTATTTGTTGGGTGTATTTCCCCCTAACTAAGTATTCTGAAGGAAAAAAACAACGATTAGTAGCTTTTATTGTTCTCTCTTTTGGTGTGAACTCAACTTGAGTTCCTACTTGAGTGCTGTGTATTTGATCTTTTTTTTTTGTTTAAATTTTAAGATCCATAAATTGAGTCAGTGAGATGAAATAGCATAAA